GTGGGAGGAACCCATTGTCTGAAGAGAAAAGTTAAAAAAAAAATGCAGGAGAACCTAGCCTAGGAATAAAACATGTGACCTTCTTCTTGTAAAGTAGTGCTTAAATACATTCCATGCAGCACTTTGTTTTTTCCTGACATTACTGGACTATCCAAGTACAGTAGTTGGTAAACTTGTTGGTTTACGGTCATGATTGAAGCATGTCAAATTCACAGAAAAGGATTTACAAACAATAGAACAGTGTTCCCTAGGAAGCTGAGAAGTGTTACAACAAAAGGCTTTCCCAATGGTGCTCTATCTGGTTGAGGTCAAGGCTCCGTGATGACCAGTCATGTTAATCCGCACCAGACTGCCATCCATGTCTTTTATGGATCTTTATTTTTTTGCACGTGTGCACAGTCATGTTTGAAAAGGAAGGGACCTGTTTAAAACTGTTTTCACAAAGTTGGGAGAATGGACTATTCTAAAAAATATGGTATGCTGAAGGAATGACTCTGAAACTACAGTAAGGGGCCAATCCCAGTTCAAGAAAAGTAATCCCAGATCATAATCACTCCTGAGAACATGTCTCCACTTCTCTGGAATGCAGTGGCGGCATGCTTTACACCCCTGCATCCAACACTTTGCATAGCCCTTGGAGATGTATGGCTTGGATGCAGCAGCTCAACCTTGGAAACGTTTTCCTTGAGCTCTCTTCTTACTGTTCTTGAACTAATCTGAAGGCCAGATAAAGTTTGTTGATTTGTACCGACTGATACTGCAGAAAGTTGGCTACCTCTTTCCAATATGACTTCAGCATTCGCTTTAGTTCAGCTTCTGTATAAAAGTGCCCAGACACCCTACGGAAAAAACTTATTTTTGTCTGCTTGTATCCGAGTTCTTTTGGTCATGATCCAGATTTCATGACCATAGGTGAGGGTAGTAGCATAGACTAACTGATAAATCAAGAGATTTGCATTTTCACCCAGCTCTATCTTTACCATGCCATACCGGTGCAGCGTCTGCATTAAAGAAGCAGCCACACCGATCTCTCCATTCTCCCATCACTCGTGACAATGACCCCAAGATAATTAATCTCTTCCATTGAAGGCAGGAGCTCTCCTTCAACCTGAAAGGAACAAGCCACCTTTTTCTGGTTGAGAACCATCTGAAGGTGCTAATTCTCATATTGGCTGCTTCAAACTCAGCTGCAAACTGCCCATGATGTAAGGTCTTGGCAGGAGGGAGCCAGCAGAACCACGTCATCTACAAAAACCAGGAATGAGATTCTCTGGTCCCCCAAACCAGACTCCTCCCGCCCTTGAAGTCTTGTCCATAAAGGTTATGAAAAGGACCAGTGACAGAGGGCAGTCCTGTTAGAGTCCAACTTGTATAGGGAACAAGTCAGACTTAGTGCCAGCAATGAGAACTAAACACCTGCTCTGAGGGACACAGTCTAAGGCCTTCTCAAGGTCCACAAAACAAATGAGGACCAGTTTGGCAAACTTCCATGCACCTATGAGAGCCCTTCAGAATGTAGAACTGGTCCACTGTTCCATGCCAGGGTGAAAGCCATACTGTTCCTCCTGATGCCAAGGTTCGGCAGTCAGCGGGACGCTCCACTGAAGGACCCCCATCATAGGCCTTCCCGAGGAAGCTCAGAAGTCTCATCCCCCTATTGTTGGAACCCACCCTCCTGCCCCCCTTCTAATGAAGGGAACCATCACCCTGGTCTGCCAGGGGCACCTGCCCAGACGTATAAACGATGTTGAAGAGGCGTGTCAGTGACAACAGCACGACAAAATCCAAATCTCTAAGATAGTCAGGGCGAACCTCATCCTCCCCTAAAACCTTGCCACCGTGGATATTTTTGACCATGTTAGTGACTTCACCCTGGGTGATGAACGAACCCAGCCTCAATCTTGTTGATGCAAAAGAGCGACATCGGTACTAAAGATAGTATTACTATTTTCCTTGTTTCTATTGACATATAAGTGGCATTGCATCTAATAAATGAGTTGTTTCTGCTTATTTAAGTCATAATATTAATTATATGTGAAGACCAGGACACCGTTTGATCTAAGCTGACACCCAACAGTTTTTAGATCAGTCACCTGATCTAAAGATTGGTGCTAAGTTAGATTTAACATTGCTGCATCTCTCATGGCATGTTTAGAGCCCAACATTATACACTTTCAACACATTTAGTTTTATTGTTCTGCGCTACCTACCCAAACACCAATTCTAGTTCTTCTGGTGGGATATTTTTATTCTTATATTGATCTGATGATGAGACATAGATAGTTGTCATTTGCATAGATAGTAGAGGAGTGGGAAAAAATAGTTTTGGCGATATATATCCAAATTTTCGGCTGCCCGGTATAATATCAATCTTTCAGTATCTAGTATCAAACAAAAATTTTTTTTACCTAAAACAATAAGGGAAAATGGGCAACCTCTGCACCGCCATTCTGGCAGATAGTGCTTGGGAGCTCGTTTGCTGTGAAGGGCAACATCATATCTGTGATTGAAGCAGTCACAGTGGAAGACGTTGACTGACTCAAACCACAAACAACATGGATATCAAAAAAATAATATATAAATAAATAAAGATAAATATAAATGATCAATATCTTCTAATGAACATATACAGCACTCGCTTTTTATCTATAAATTTAATTCTGACAGCAGGGAAAAATATCACAATATAGTTTCCAACTTCAGGCTAGATCAATTCAGAGTTTAGGATTTCAGTCTGAATTTGTTAAACCTGCTTTGTGAAACAGACCCATGGTCTGCACCCTGGATTTTTGAGGACTAATAAATTTGGCCAGGTAGTGCTTTAAGTACGGACTTTAGCAGAAAACACAAACCTGAGGTTGGTTCCCTGATTAGCATACTGGATGTTGTAATGTGGACCTACATAAAGAACCGTTTTCATTTCGGTTCTACATTCCTGTAGAACCTGAAAAAAATTTGGTTCAGTTTTTTCTTGTTTTACAGCAAACAAGTGCTTTGGGAGGATTAAACAACTTTGATGATCAAATTGAGTTTACTCAGAGTGAAAAACAGGAAAAAAGAAAGAATGATGGATGAGAACATTTTATTCTCCAGATTAAAAATGAATAATCATTCACTGACTTAAAAATTAACATGTTTAAACATTTCATTGTTCTTTCTGTATTTTATCTTTAAAATATTCATTTTTTTCGATATCTATTCCTGTTTTCCAGGTCTAATTCAGTTTATTATTTTTTTCTCAGAAATTTTTCTGACATCTGAATTCATTATTTCATTGAAATAGAAACCTGATTATTACCATACCTCTTCAAAATGCGATTGGGATCTAGCTCCCTCTGCTGGTGGAAACTCGTCACTTCTCATGTTCAGCATAAAATCAGTTTGCGGAAACAAAAACAAAAAAACAAGAATATATATTTTAATAAACCTGTTTTATAGTCTTAAACTTTTTATGTGTTTAATCTTTTATTCTGGGCAGATTCCTCCAGAAATAGCATTGAGTTTGATACTTTATAGAGTGGACCAAAGCCTCGAACTGAATGCCATTTCTGACTTTTTGAACCGATAAAGCTTCCTGGATGGGAAGCAAAATGTCTTTAAACTTGGAAACAAAGTCCAGTGGATTGTTGTTTTTTTGACAGGTGGTCAGGCAAGAGGTTATGAGTTTAATGCAAAGTAAGGCTTTAAAACAATATCACAAGCTTTGAATTTCACAGGAAAATGTTCAAATCCTCTAAAATTACAGACAGTAAGGTACAACAACTAAGGCACAACCGACTAAGGGGAGCGTTATAAACAGAGTGGGCAGAGAGGACCATGGGAAAAAAAAGGGGCTTATGGTTTAACCTAATAAATCAGGGGTGGAGGCATCAGGCTATAGAGATGTTATTCTTTATATAGCAGGGACAGAGGGTTAAACTCTGCAGTCTCGGAACTTTAACGTTCAGACAAAATTTGGCAGATTTGAATGGTCAGAAAAAAATATATATACAATTTAGAAGATGACACACAATAAAAGGAAAATCGAAAACACGTCAAAAATTTAGCATACTATTTTTTCATTTAACTTCTCCTAAAGCGGATTAGGGCCACTGAGAAAAACAAAACAAAAAAAAAAGTTAACCGATTTTTAAATTTTCTTATAGTATATGAAAAAAAAGTGAGAATTCTGACTTTTTTCTCCCAGTTCTGTTTTCTGACATCTACATTTTTTTTTCCCATTTTTCACTGTTTTCATGTTAGCGTCAAGCTGCAGCCATGTCTGTTTTAGAGATTAGCTCTTGTTTTAATCACCTTCTGCTCTTCCATTAGTGAAATAGAATCACAGGGGAACCTTCGAAAACGTAAAAAGTCACCTAATTCCCTCATTTTCCTCCAATGTGTAACTGGCCCTCCCAAACAACTCACATCTTTGTCAGAAGAAACTGAGTGCGCCACATCTCTTCCTTCATGGTGCCCATCTACATTAAGAACCAAAATTCTGAGATTAAGTCATAATTCTGAGGAAAAAAGTAAAAATTCTGACATTAAAGTCAGAATTCAGACTTTTCCCATATTAAACTGGAAAAAAAGAATTTAAAAATATGTTTTTTTCAGTGTCCCTAATCTTCTTTTGTAGACTTCTGCAGTGTTTCGGTTTTAAAAACAATAAGCAGTTTAGCGTCTCCTAGTGTTAATATTACCCTTTACAACTATTAAACTCTAATGGTGAAAAAGTTGAAATATTTCCTGCACACATGCCATTTAAAACATTTTGTTGCTGTGAACTGGTCTTTAGCAGAGCAATAGAGCTGCAAAATGGCAGAAGCGTGAAGCAATTGTAGCACAAAATTTGTCACTTAACCTGTTTATGTGTCACTGAGAAACGTGTTCCTTAGGAACATTAATTAGGGCAATGCTGAGGGATTTAGAGGGAGCCACCCTAAGGAGTGGCTCAATCAACAGGCTGAAAAACTGTTGTGGGAACAAACAGAAGAGCAGGGCATCAATAACAAAAACCATTGTACACAATGAGTTGCTTTATTAAAAATCTCTGGTTTCGACATCAATTGCAGTGTAAAATTGCACATGACACACCACCACAGGAACAAATTACATCTCTCAGATATGCAGCCGATTATGGTTCTAGTCTTTATCAGTTTGAATTACACAGATGATAGATGTACTTGGCTCAATCTCATATAAAGTTTAAATCCATTTTAGCCAATAAAAAAAAAATACCCTTAAACAATTACTATCTCAGAGGAAAGAAAAAAAAATGCACTGAATGCTGCAATGACTTCAGTAGTTTTACTTCCTACTTTTCTTTTGCTTCTGCTTTGTATAATTTTGTATGCCAATAATTACATGCAAGACAAAAACCAAACGAAACAAAAGAAAATCCTACATTTAATTAACGTATATTAGATATTTAGAGCATTGAGGCAAAAGGTAAATAAGCAAACTCCCTCACACCAGTTTGAGACAGTTTCTCCTAATCCATGTTCCTATATGTGGAGCTCCAGGCTTGCATGCATCATACCATAACCTTTTAGATTTAAAGTTATAGCAATCATTAACAGCCTGAGGGACCCATAGGAGCAGGGAGAGGAGCCAACTGACAGAGATGTCACAGAAAGCGGTCAATGAAGCTCATCCTGGCTGGATGCTGCCGATGTTGGAGCAGATCAGAGGAAGAGCTACATGATGACGCACGGGGCACGGGATTTGGTGATCTTCTCCAAAGGTTTCCCCTCACGGGCTTTCTGGATGGTACCCAAAATCTACGATAGGTACAAAAATAACATCAACTGCACTGCTGGAGTTACTGAACATATTGCTTTAGGTTCATTAAATACTTACGTCGTCCTCATATGGGAAGCCACCTGTCTCAAGCTTGGAAAAGACGAGCTGATCGTTAATTTCTATTTCGAAGCTGCCTGTATTTTAAGAGGGGAAAAGTGCGTAAAGGAATCGGATAATGAAAGGAAGTCAAATACAGATCAAATATTAAATAGTTTCGTTGTATGACTTGCAATTTACCCCTTCTTCCCACAAAGCCAGACACTTCCGCTTCGGGAAACTCGCTCTTCACTACGTTAGCGAGCTCCCGATAGCGGGGCTCGTATCCTCATCCGCCACTACAGACAGCAGAGGAGAAGACATGGGGGGTTTAGAAGAAAACACACATTTAGCACAAATTCGTCTTGGCTATAAGCTAACAACTATGCTAAACAACAGCACGACACCACTTAAAAGTAGACAAAAGCAAAAAAAAACAGAACAAGGGTTAAATAAATCTTGAAGAGAGCTTTAAAAACGATAAAAGGCAGTTACCAGTACTCGACTCGAATCTTCACCCCCATTTTCTTTGCACTTTTAGCGGCTTGTATCTCGTCCAAAACACCGCTAGCTTTTGTAACAGAGGGGGGTTGTATAAATGTGTGGTAGTGAGGGGCGGGGCTTATGTCACGTGACGGATTACGTTACGTTCCTCTGAAAACAATAAAAGCAAGCGACACATTCGATACTTTTCATTTTTACAGAATCTACACGTATCATTAAGTTCTAACACATTTATTTATGAAGTCAAAAGCACTATATAGTTTGAGAAATTATTTATGAATTAGTTAACAGAATTTATATGTGATATAGATCACCTGCAATAAAAAAACTCACAACTGGATATAGTTTTTTTTATTATTATCTATGAATAATTTTTATGACATTTAATTATTTAATTCATAATTTTAAATGTATTTTTAATAATTAATGGGATTGTTTATTATTTAATTGTACATTTGACAATGTAAATCATGTATTAGGTATATATAAATAAATAAATACATGTAAGATCTTCTAATTTTATTGCACATTTATTTCATAGCATATTCATATTTATGTATTTTATTATCTAATTCCCCCCTTCATATAGGGATCAATGATAATGAAGGCTCCTGCTTTGGAAACCATTGGGTTGCTGTTGTTAGGATCACTGACCCCTGCCTCTGTATCAGTTCTTTTGCCGTTGATAATTGATTTTCTTCCTGGACTGCCCTGTTTTTTCTCTATCTAATTTCTCATCTAGTTTGGCCAGTTCTTTTTTTCTTCCTTGTAGAAGAAAATAATCGTTAACATCACTTCTAAGATTGTTTATCTGGATAGAAGTTCAAGGTTTTGCATTTAAGTCACGACAGAAGTTTGGAGCTCACAGAGCAAGTTCTTCCACATATTTGCCTTGCAACGTGGCACACTTTTGGGACCTTAAATGAATTCCTTTCAACAATGCCTTTCTTCTTGCTCCTCTCCTGAAATGGAACATTCGTAGAGAGCACAGAAATGTTTTATCCTCTTGAATAATTTTATAAAAAAATAAACTGAGCTATACTTTCAACACAATAAATTTCATGTGGTTAGCTGATTCCTGTAGTGGTGAAATTTTTATAAATGATAACTACACAAGAATTATTCTACATGTTTTAAGGCATTTTTTCCGCATTTCATCCCTAAATATATAACTGATTTTAATCGGTTAAATATATCTAAATGCAGCAGACCAATTCCTGTGATGCATAACACAGTGAGGTTTTTCAAGGTGTGCTTAACAACAACTCCCTGTTCTCTTACGGCAGTCAGTGTCTACCACAGATAATCGAAGCTTTCAGTTACCTTAGAGTTCCCTATGTATTTGCACATTTTCAAATCAACCTATTTGCATGTTGCAAATCTCAATAATGCTGCAGAGCAGGACAATCATTTACAGAGATTTTATCTACCTGCACAAACCCAAATAAGTTGTTGTAAACAACGAACCCTTGTTGCCCTTATTAAGAGCTCTTAACAACAGCCTGACTGTGACTTCGGTATGTTTTATAAGTTTACTTCTTATGTTTGAAGCACCTGTGCTGCTCTAAAACTGATCACTGTAGGTACAAAACATAGCTCCTGTGCTCTGCCTTCTCAATTTCATCCATTACATCTACGGTTTCAAGGACAGTACTGTCATATTATCTTGATACAGGAGCTGTGAAACGCAATTATGAAGCTTACCGTCACAAACCAGACAATAAGAGGAGTTGTTCTGGTCTTCCTCATATCAAATGACAAAAAAAGGGACAGAGATGTGCAATATGTTGTTTGTGCTCTCTTATTAAAAAATAATATGTTTATTCAGGCATACTGGGCAGTTTTTGAGCATGAACGTCCCATTTAGGGGAGTGTCCCAATGTTTCATTTGGATTAATGTCTCAGCCTGAAAAATACATATTTAATTAAAATTTGAAGATATGAAGCAGTGGACTGTCTGATGTGCTTTAGCCGATGTTCTGCTACAAAAGGCTTAGTACAACATATCTCTGAGTCCCCCATATGTCCTCAGTAGAGGACAAGCAAAACCAAGATTTTCCATGACTGCGCTAATAGTCCAGATTGACAAGGACAATAAAACTTTGACCCAAATTAAATGTAACAGAACCAACTATAGAAAAAAAAATATTTCTTTTTATTTAGGAATCTGTTTAACCAATGTTGCCCTAAATGGGTTCCTAGAGATGCAGATAGACGCAGTTTTTGTTAGAAAAGGTCATCTATTCCCCAGACTGGGTTCTCCTGTTCTGTGTTCTTTAAATCGATTGGCTATGAAACTTACAATAAACTGTTTATATAGATGCATAAAGTACATTATAGATAACAATCTTTAACCCCCCCCTCCCAAAAGTGCTGGAAAAGAATCCTAAATTCTGAGAATTAATTAAGAGCGCAGTGAGTTGAACTAAGGATTTTTCACTGAAATGATGAAAGTAGTAATTTTTCCCTATTTTAGTGACCTAATTAATTGATTTCTCATATGGACTAAATATAAAAATATAACATTAATGACTCCTGAAAAACTTTAAACTCTTTTACTTTACAGAATAAATGTTGTGGCTGTTAGATTATAGGCTATATGCAAAGGGAGATGCCTCCTTCCTTGGTAGTTTAGTTCAATCAGTGAGATTGAAATAGAGCTAGAGTGGAACAAGCAAGAAACAAACGGGGTATAAGGTAACAGGTAGTAAAGCGAATAAAGTGTCCGGTCCAGTCTGACTTATTACATTTTTTGAAGTTCAGGTATTAATGAAGTGCAGTTGTTTCATGGTTGAAGCACAATGGACATTGTGAGTATTGTAGAGACATGTGATGGTTCAGAAACATTGGTCACAAGTAGTCCTGCTGTCACGAGTCTGTCTAAAGGCAATTTGCTTACATTAGTGTAGAAAAAGGCATCAGTTGTAATAAGTATTTATCATGCGTCATAGTAGCTGTCTTTTTTTGCTATATATTTTTACTGTATGTTTATCTTATTAAAGCACATAAATTGTAAGGAGCACCAAAAGGAAAATAGAACAATCAGGAATTTTCTTTTGTTATTATGGACCATATAAATGTAACTGTTTCAGGAATTGCATCTGATGAAACTTATTTCATAACATAAATAATTTCCGTCTTTTCAAAGTAGAGTCAATTCCATATTAAAGCTATTCCATGACACAAAATGGCACCAGTTATTAATTAAGATAAAAATTACATAGTAGTGATATATCTCAGAAGCACAGATGCTTCAGTAATGACTGGTCTATCACAGAAAGTCAGATATGCATGAAAAAAAATCATTGAAATTAAATAAACACAAATCCATTTGTCAAAAGGATATTGAATGTCTTTATCTTTAAATGCTTGTTTTCTTGACTATAATTGAACTTTCACTGACTATTCTAAAACTTAGCTTGAATGTGATTCTGTTGAAAAGTATCGCCTAAAGTAGATCAAATTTACAAATATAACATTATTTATTTATGAATTTTTAATTTCAACGAGGAGGTTATATTTTCATCTATGTTGGTTTGTCTGTTTTCACAATAACTGAAAAATAGTTATGAATGGATTTTGCTGAAATTTTCAGAGAAGGTGGATATTGTGACTGGCAATAAATTATAATTTTTTTGGTGATGATCTGGATCACCATCAGGATCCAGGAATGTTTTTCAAAGATTCTGTGAATACAGGTTTTAACTTAGGTGGAGGCCACAATATATCGGGGGAATGAGCTACTTGGGGGAGGTCTCTGCTTTCTGAAAGCTTTTCTTTTCATTTTTTTTTTTTTTTACCAACAACTGTGACATCACATGGAGGAAAGCATGCACACTCGTGACTTTCATGACATGGCTTTCTTTGTGAGTCAGGGCAATTTGAAATAACCATTGAATTACTTTAGTTTACTGAGCAGTTATGTTAATTGATCATTTCTGTCAACCAGTCAATGTTTTTCTTTATTAAGCATTAAAAGGTATAAAAATCAAGCAAAAAGTAAAAGCAGAACTTAAGGAAAATTGCAGCTGAAACCAGATACCTAGAAACAGTAACCTGTACTGTATAACAGGACATAAAACCTTATATGATCTGAAGTTAATTTACCAGTTTCAGCTCATTTAGGTTTAGTGTATTTGTTGTATCTACTACACACCTGCATGAGAGAAGGAATTTTTTTTTTTGCTTACTTTTTTGTAAAATTTAACAGTTTAAACATACAAATAAAACTAAAACACACTCATTTCTAGTGTGACATAGTAAAAAAATTGTGAAAAAAGAGTGGACGTCGACTGCATACAAGGATACCTGATGGGGCCAGAATTGTCTATTCAAATATACACAAGAATAAACACTAGTAGAAGTACAGTTAAAGGTGCTGTAGGAGATCTTGGAAAAAAATTTCAGCAAGCTATATTTTTGAACATACAGTACACAACCGTGCCTCTCCCTTCAGACCACCCCTCGAAATCATACCTTCAAAACACATGAATGCACACGCTGTCTGCAGCGCGTCTAGAGCAGCAGGAGCAGTGCTAAAGATGTTCACTTCTCTGAAACAGTTTATTAACACCTAAATTAACTAACAATGCCAAAATCTGCCGGCAAAACATGTTCGCTTTTATTATCCTGGTCCCTGCAGTTTGGATTACATACATGAAAAACGCCTTCCAGCTGGTTGCCTCCGCCGCGCCAATCCACGAAGAGGCGACCGGGCCAGAGGCTGCTGTTGAATGGGATTCCTAGTGACAACGCACCGCCGGTAAACGGGGGTCTGAGCTGCTCCGACAGAAATTATATTTTTGAAGGCAGGATGGTAATCTGGATGAACTGACTGCACAGGTGATGTTTTAAGGTGGACTTTCTTGCTTCAAAATAGATTCAAACTTATTTTACCCACTGATCACAGCTAATATAGCTGCCGTTGTTACAGGCAAAGAAAGGATAGGGTAGTTCCACCCAATGCGCATCAGACCCATAGCAGGGACTATTTATTTTAATTTCAGTTCCAAACCTTGTATTTCACTGCTTGCTAAGTGGCTGTGTGGAGATCTTTAAGCCACATGGTAAAAAATACATCAGAAAAGATCTCTTACTGCACCTTTAACATAATTATTCAGGATGAAGATTACTTCTTTCTCCCATCGTTGAGGGGTGAAAGTTGTAAATCAACCAAAGAATAAAATAAAATGGTTTGATGAGAGAGAGTTTAGCTTTGCAGGAAGCAATCTATAATGAAATACACAAAAAATGATAAACTACTTGAGAACACCTAGAGAACTAATAATAAACGAATGGGTAGTTAACTTGTTCTTGCCGAGGCACACCCAGCTCAGCCTTAATATGAGTCTACTGCTGAGTTCACTGGAAAACATCGAATAACTAATCAGGAACTACTGGGTAGTAACTAAAGAAATCAAATAGTAATTAATAAAGAACTTACAGGTAGTTAACCAATAGGCTACGTATTAGGGACTACTGTTTCGTTACTACAAAATTATTGTAGAAATTTTCAGTGTGGGTTCTGAATAAACCCTAAACCTTTCAATTCAGCTTATGAAAAACTACGTTAATGAGAGCCAAATTATTGCCTAGCTATTATTTTATGGACTTTGTGACTTAAGCATCATGTCAAATGGTTACTAAGGAACTAATTAATTAACTAATTAATACCTGACCATAACTAATCTTTTTGTACACCCTTGAGTAACTTGAAACAGTCCATTAGATTGTGATTAGTTTCATTGTGTTTCCCAGGTAACTAAGCAGTAGTCCTGTCTGGGATAGATTTGCCCTGTAAGTACTGGTTAACTACCCATTAGTTCCTGATTATTTGTATAAGTGTAGTAGTTAATCTAGCAGTTAATCAAAATTACCTTATTGCAAATGTTTTGCACACTAAATCAACTCCTATTCCAACATAGGCGATGAGTTCACTTATCAAGGAAAAGAACATTACTACCGAATCAAAATAAAAAACAAAAAATAAGTTAACAGATGTGGGGTTGTTTTACCACACAATAGACCACAGCACTTCCTAAAACCTGTGTTACTGTGAGGAAAGAACATTATGTTGAACTATTAAAGCAGAACACTTTTGCCAGGAAGTTAGAGTTTGACACGTGTCTTCCTTGTCAACATTGAGCCTAATGTTACCATCAATAAGGTATCACAGTACAGTAAAGTGAAAGTATTTGAGTGGCCATCACAATGTCCTAATTTAACAAAATTCGATTAGAGTTGATTCATTTCAATCAATTCAGTTAAACTACTTTCAGTTCAATTTAACCCAATTCAAACATATTTTATTGATCCAAAAAGGAAATTAACCTAACTGTAAGTGTCAGTGAAATGATTTATTTCTTGGAAAAATGTATGTTTATTTCTAATGTATTTTATGTTGTTTGGTTCACGTTTTGGGAATGTGTAAAATGATTGCATTATTTTTTTTGTGTTGAGCTATTTTTTGTTGAAAGTTATCGCGAGATTTGCATATGTGAAAAGCAACGCGACTTGAATAAACATAGAAGGAGCAGAAGCTTGGAACAGAGCTATGTGGAACAGCCTTGTGTTTACTGTAGCTGTCAAGAGTGGATTTGTCTTCTATTTCTGTAGTTTTCACGGCGTTTAATAAAGAGCCCGTCTAAAGGAAGCTGTGCCGGTGTTGTCACTTTGGAATTACACTAACAGTTACTGATATGTTTTTTGCTTTTTTAACCAGTTGTTGAAAAAATGTCATAAAAAAAGAAACTCTGATCCACAAATGGTGGAACCAAGGCTCTCCCAAAAAGAGAGATTTCATTTTGTCATTTTGTACACACAAGTGTATATGTGTTTACCTCTGCACTTTGACTGGAAAGTTCTAAAACATCAATATTGATCTTGTTATACTAAGATAAATCTGACCACTGTCCTGGTGGAACCTTAAATACTCCAGTCTCAGCTTATAGAAAAATAAAAATAATCATGAACTCCAACATTTCTGATAAAATCTCTTGATTAAACAAGTGACAAAAAAAACTCAGCTACAGTAAGCTACTATGTACATATGCATGTATGAGAGTCTGGAAGGTGATGCCATTGTCCCAAAGTACATTGGATGGCAGGATTGCATCTCCCTGTGGGGTTGTCTTGTGATGGTCTTGTGAGAGGGGGGTTTGCACTGGTTGGAGAAGAGAGACATTTTTCTCAACCAATTGTTAAAGTTAACCAGCCTGAACTTTGCTCCTCAATGTCCAAAAACAATATAATGGCCTATGGTATAACACCTGTGTGTAGTGTCAACTTATGCATCTTTTAACTCTGTCAGATCTCTCTTTTTTCCATTTTAAGAATAACCATCACCACGTGATAAGTTCAGGATAACGTACACATAGGATTTAGTAAAATACCTTATTCCACATGTTTGATTTATCCCTTAAATGACAAAACACAAATTAACATCCAATGGCTTTTGGTTTTCTTTGCTGTTTCCTTATAGGGTAAGAATTGGGGAGACCATGGTTAATAGATTTCTAAGCTTTGGAACTCTGCAAGTTAATGCTCTCCTTGTCTTGAATTTATAACATCTCGTCTAGAAATAATCAATATTCTTCTATATCACTGCCGGGTACTGTTAACACTAATCAATAAAACTTATAATTTGGCATCAAGTTTTATAGGGTAAGAAGAATTAAAAAAGCTTAGAATGCATTAATTATGTCAAAAACACAATAGATTGTGATCTTCATTAAATTAACTGCCTTGTTGTAACATCGCTAAAGTCTCTATGGCAAATATATTTCCATCTTTAAAAATCCACATCAGAAAATATTCAAACGCAAATGATGAGATTTGATAATCAAGAAACAGGAAGACAAACCAAGAAAAAAAACTTATTGGGTAGCAATGATTTCTAATCTCTCATCTCAGAGTCTCAAAGCCTTGTCTATCTATAGTCATGAGGTGTGACTGATTAGAGATGACCTTCGGACTCATAAAATCAGAAATAGCCCCACCTTTTGTAGTCACTCGTTCAGTTGCAGACTCTGCATTTTAAATGGAGCACACGGAAACACAGAGGAGACATGTAAATGGGTGACTTTTTAGTTTAACGAAAAAATCAGAGATGGCACAACGCAGACTTTCAGAATGTAAGTAATCACTTTGGTAACCAGCCCACTCCAGCTTACCTTAGAAGTGCTGCCTTCTATCTTTACCTAAATAATTTCTGAAGATGATTTGTGTTGTTTGCTTTGTTAGGGGATGGTTCAGGTACATCAAAGTTAAATATCGTTCTTCTTGGAGGAAGAAACTCTGGAAAGAACTCTTTGGGAAACCTGATCCTTGGCAAGGAGGAGTTTGTAACCAAAGAGAGGACTTCTTCTACCCGAAGGTTGGGAGTTGTGGCCAGACACTGGCTCACAGTGGTGGACACTCCAGGGTGGTGGTGCGACTCAAGTGCTCAGGAAACCACAAATCTTGTGAAGAGGGAGATCATAACAAGCGTCTCATTGTGCCCCCCAGGCCCTCATGTATTTCTGATCACAGTGAAGGCAAGCTCAATCTTCTCAGAGAGGCGGAGGAGAGCTGTTGAAGAGCATGTGGCCCTGCTGGGTGATGGGGTGTGGGATCACAGCATCGTCATCTTCACCTTTGCTTACAAGTTTCAGCCCACACAAACAAAGGAGTGCATAGAAAGAGGAGGGAAAGCCCTCCGCTGGCTCATTGAGAAGTGTGGTCAGAGATGCCATGGTGTTGTCCTAAACGAAAATACAGACATAAGAGAGTTGCTGGTGAAGATACGGAAACTCGTTTCGGAAAATGGAAACAGAGTGTTTGAGATGAAGGAAGACCTTTTAAGGCTGACAACAGAAGAGAGCAGAGGTGTGGCTGAGAAGGCTCAGCTGAGATTTTTAAAAATGAAACGACAAAGATCTCTTATGCGAGGTGAGTAAAACTCTCGAAAAGCCTGAAAATCATTTGCAATTTTTGTTTTATGTTTTATAAAACAATGCTAATGCTAAGACTCACCTGCCTGGCTGTGTGTTTCCTGGATGGAGCCGCCTTTTACAGTTCCTTTTGTATCTCTGCTTCTTTCTACTGTATATGTCAGCTTCTGCCTCCTCGAACCCCAGTTGGCCTCGGCAGATGGCCGCTCACACTGAGCCTGGTTCTGCTGGAGCTTTCTTCCTTTTAAAAAGGAGTTTTTCCTCTCCACTGTCGCTACAAGCATGCTTAGTGTGAGGGATTGCCTTCGAGTCAATGAGTCGATGCAATCAACTGGTTTTCTTAGATAGAAAACTTTGAATTAGTTTGACTGTATGATCTGGATGAAATGTAAAGGACCTTGAGATGACGTGTTGTGAATTGGCGCTGTATAAATTGTAATATATGGATTGAATTGAATTACATACCTGGCAATGGAGCATCAATGTCCATCATATCATTTGAAGGGGTTGGTTAACATCTTGTTTTAAACCACTGTAGGCAGAGTTTATTTTCCTCCTTCGGTATATCAAGCGCATCTATCTATTCTATTCAGGTTTTTTATTTCATGGAAAACTATACAAAAAGAACAGTTAATTTTCTATTTGCGAGCTCCTATCCAGAAAGGCCAGAAATAGACTTTGCAATAATCATAAAATATAAGAATAACAAAACAATCAGTGTTGCAGAAAGAAGGATTCCTGTGCCTCCCATGGTTGAGACATGTCAGTTTTCTAAACAGATAACTGAGCTAATGTTTAGCTATGAATGTTTCATTTTATTTAGCTTTAACAACTCACTCAAAATAAACCTAAAATTACAGCCTAAGGCTGTACCACATAGCTTTTTAGTGCCAACTTCCATGTTTTGATTTTTCCAACATGTAATATAAATTGTCTATTTAATCAGAAGTGGGATTTAGCAAAAACTTTAAATGTGAACGTGTGTTTTTCTTAACCAAGGATTTGAAACAGATACTGCCTGCCTTTCTGTTTTTTATTTTATTTTATTTTTTTACAGTAAATACACACAGAATGTCATTTATAGTATTGGTGCTTTACAGAAAGCGATCAATTATCTATATTCTGGAATTTTGACGAAATATTCAATGCGAAAATCTGTATGAACTAATCCTCCTGCCCCCCTTTGTGCTTATAGAGAAGTCTAGGCCCATCACAACCATCCGCCTTGTGCTGCTTGGAGCAAAAGGTTCAGGAAAAACTTCAGCACTGAACACAATCCTTTGCAGAGAGAATGGCAAGATACCTGGCAGAACAACTCAGTGCTGTGTGGGAGATGGTGTGGTGTTTGGAAGACAGGTGACCATTGTTGACACACCAGGCTGGTGGATGAACTACTTCTGTATCGAGACCCCACTCTTCGATCGGAGAGAAATGGTGCTTAGCTTGTCTCTCTGTCCTCCGGGGCCTCAGGTCTTTCTGCTGGTGATTCGTGCAGACCGGGCATTCACTGAGACCTACAGGAGAGCAGTACAGGAGCACCTCGAGCTCATCAGTGAGAGGATTTGGAGTCGTGTAATCCTGCTGTTCAGTTTCGGGGACTGGCTGGGAGGCGCCACGACTGAGAAGTTCATTGAAAGCGAGGGGGAGCCTCTGCGGTGGCTCGTGGAAAAATGTTCCAACAGGTATCAAGTTTTCAATAACAAAACTAAAGGAGATGGATTTCAAGTCAGAGAACTTATTGGGAAGATCGAAGAAACAATTTCTGGCTGCAATGGAAGCTGGCATTATGAAATCGAGAAGAAATGGCTGGAGAATTTGATGAGGAAGATGAGAAAAGAGACGGAGGAAGCCAATGAACGACTGAGAAGGAAAGAGAGACAGAGACTGGTGGCAAAGTCGGGTCTGGGTGAGTTGGGTACATCTGATAAATGTTTTTTGTTTAGTTTGTTAGTTTTCTAATGTAATACATAATTTTTTACATTGACAGAGAAACTCATCCCTCTGCAAGAACTTAGAATTGCACTGGTTGGTGGCAGAAAAGGAGGCAAAAGCTCATGTGGAAACACCATCCTCAGCAGAGATGGCTTTGCCACAAACACTCCAACTGTCTCCTGCACTGAAGATCAATGCAAAATCAATGGCAAGACAGTGTCAGTATTAGACACTCCAGGATCCTTCCCCATCCCCTCAGAATTCCTGAAGACTCCTTCAGTCATCTTGGTGGTTGTCAATGTGAGCTCCTCATTCAGGGATCTTCACCAAGAAGAAATTGAGAAACAGATGGATGCAGAAGGAAATCAGGTTTGGAGCAGAGCGATGGTGGTGTTCAGTCATGGTGACTGGTTAGGAGACACCAGCATCGAACGACGCATTGAGAGTGAAGGAGAAACTCTGCGGAGGCTTGTAGAGCACTGCGGGAACAGGTACCATGTTATGGACAATAAGAACCAGGGGGATGGAGCTCAGGTCAAGGAGCTCATTGACCTAGTGGAGGAGATGTTGGCCACTCAGAGGCTGGCCGATCTTGATAAAGGTGATCTCATGTGGAAGACAGTTTGTTCAGCAGAGGATCGACAGACTGATGCAATGTTGCGAAAAAGGAATCCCACGAAACGGACAAGCAGAAGACAGCGGCTGTCACTTGACGGTGAGTGAATTAATGATCTTATGCTTTTCTCCACAGAGACAGATGTAAGCAATTAAAATGGACATACACTATAAGACGTTTCAATCCTATGACATTTGTTTTGGTTGAGCCAAGTTTCAGCCTCATTGTAGGAGGGTTGATTAGCCTATAGCGACCACCAGCCCATCAGGAATTTAAACTCAGTCGACCCTTGAAAGAATTTAAAAGCGTATCTTACTGTTGAAGCAGAGCTATTAGGGTCTTTGTGATGATTAACCATTACCTTGTTCATTACACATATGCAAACAAGGGAATTCTTCTTCTTCTCTGCCTTTACTCCCAAGTATTGACGAGTCCAACAAGCGCTAGTCTCTCAAGTGAGCTGAGTCCGTATGTGGATTTTGGACATAACGTCTGAGCAGTGTCATTGTATCAGCGCATCGGGCTGTACAGTGTAAGAGCAGAAATCATGAACTGTGTACTTTTAAAAGTTACTGTTTGCTTTTACAGTTTGAGCTGTAGCTAAATACAATAATTGAACATTTCATACAGTGTGTGTCCCACCTTTACATGGGTTCCCTAGACAGATGCTTAAATTATTTATCTAACCTACATTTCAATTTTTGAAGGAAAAACTAATTTTTCGGACATTTACGTATATACAATAGCTCCTAAATTTTAACATGTGGTATGTGTCAAAAACTAAACACCCTTTCAAATATTTTTTAAGTAATTTCAAATACTCGATAACCTATTAAATTGACATTAAAAACAATGACAAGCAATAATTTAACTGCAAATATCATCAAAGCACTTTTGGGTATCCTGTCTTAAATTGATTTTAAATATTTTCTTTTTCAAAGGTATGTATGTGGTTTTTGAAAAGTCTCTCATTGTAATTTTTTTTAATTATTTATCAAAAGAATATTGAACATATTTTTCAGAAGTAGTTTTCAGCTTTGAGTAAAAAAAGAACGGATCTCATTACACTGTCTTTAAATTAAAACCATTTTACCTAATAAATGATAAAAGGGATTTAAATATTTTTTTCCATTTCACTTAAAACAAATAATGGCCAGCATGGTTATTGGCTGATCATTTTTTTGTTGTAATAATTATTTTAAACAAAAGCAGGCTCATATATAATAATCTCTTTAAACTGATTAGAGATTAAGCTTAAACTCTAAATAAAGTAAACTAAAAGTATGTATAAAGGGAAACTTCAAGACATATCAGCAGTCATTTGAAAATATCAGTTTTTATTGTATCTAATATGAACAAGATTTTCTTTTGGTAAAACAATGTCAGTAGAGAGAAGTATTTACACAGAAAGAAATCATTAAATATATTCTTACTAATGCTACTTATGAGGAATACTTTACACATCATACTAGGTCTCTGGTGCAGCTGGTACAGTAGCTGCTTCTCTAAACCATAAGCAAATTAATTTCTTACAATGTCTGTTAACAGCTGACAGAGCTTGTTGCATTTATAACATCAGATCATGTTGTTTTTTTTGTTTGTTTTTTAGTGACTGATTCTGCATCCTTGACATCATATCCAGAGGAATCAGATGCAACACAAGCAGTGGCTTTACCAGAAAGAAGAGTGAGAAGGCAATCAGGATATATGCGTTTGGACACTAACAGCTTGGTGTTTGTGTCTGTGCTGAAACAAGGACGGAGCTGGTCAACAATAGATCTGCCTTTAAGGTTCCCTTCTCCATGTAGCCACATGACTTCACCCAGACGTCAAACAATGCTTCTGGTTTCATGTCAGAGTCAGCCCAGCGTTTTCTCGGAGGAAGATTTCATTAGTGTCCATTCTCTCTGCCATCCTGCTCTCAGAGAACGTACTCTCCGCAGGATTTCTGAGTCCGGAGGCCTGCAGGCTCTTATCGATCAGTGGGGCCACAGCAGCCTGGGTGAGCTAGAGGCCTTCATTGACTCTTACTTTGAGATGGTGTGGGAACAAACCATGGGATCATTTCAGCCTTCTGAATCCGACCCTCCGGCCACAGAGCAGGAGGCTGTCATTAGGGGTGTTGGAGAAGAGGATCTGCTCTTATCCATTGACAGGAAGCTTACAAGGCTGGAGCTCCTGGAGGAGATCCAGAAGGATTTGGCTGAACTGAAAGGGAATCTGGCGTGTAGCTGGGCGGCCATACAAGACCTCAGAGACAAAAGTAAAAAGGACATTGATTAGGGCATTTCTGAAAAAGTTGTAAATGTAATTTCATGTAAATATATTGATTTCATAGAGTATGTACATTTTGAATAGAAAAAGTTATAGAAGTTTGTTCATATGCCACAAGATGGCGCTATTGCCCAGCAAAACATTTTATGCAAACAGTTTGCTGATCTCAACAAACTGTTTTTTTTCACAGCCTTGCATGTTTTTATTGTGTGGTTAAGACATGATCTGATTTATGAGATATAAATGAGTTCCTTTTTATGAAATAAACAACTACATGATGATTACGTGTCTAATGAATGTGAATCACCTAAACATGATATAAAAATGTGCTCAGTTAGCTTCATCTTACTGAAACTTTCAGACAAGTGTTGATATTCTGTTAATTATTTAACAAGGAACTAATCAACAGACACTGATATGTTTGAAAGGTACTTTTTCTTGGCAAGATCTCTGATTTAGGGAAATGACTCAGATCTAGTTAAGGACAACCCTGTGGAACTTTCTGAAAGTGAAAGGAAAATAGTTCCTTTGCTCACACTGAAACATGGGACATTACAAAGATGCTAAAATCATCTTATTCGGGGTTTTAGACATAACTTTTAAAGAGTTGCTTGTTACAATATTTCTGCTCAGCAGAGGCATTTTAAACTAATTCAGTTTCTCCAGATCAAAAAGATAAACTTCCTAAAACAGCTGAGAGACAAAGTTTGTAAATGTGTCTAAATAGAAGATACTTAGACTCATTAAGGAAAGCTAATTCATTTAGTTAAATCTATTTTTTTTAGGTTGAAACTGATCTATAATTGAAATACGAGAACTTTAATAACTGCAGCTTATGGCTGATGGAAACTAAACTGTACTTTGTTAGGAAGTTAGAACATTAGACAAGACCAGTAAAAATGGCTTCCATATGTAGACCTACTGAAAGGCATGTCCATGTTGGACCACTGTACAAAATATATGTAATTGATACTCATTATTCCTCTGGACTCATGGACCATGATTTAAAAAAACACAAAAGGGGGTTTATTGAGCAACAGCCCAGTCCATTTAGTCTTCCGCCCAGATTGGTGACTAGTCTCAACAAAGAACATAAACATTTCTGCCCATATACTAAGTGTGTGGTGGCTTTTAATGGCACTGACTCTTGAGTTGCAAACTACATTGTGGGATTCAGACCCAATGGCTTTTGCTGTATATTACTTTTAAACTGCTTTCCAGTTTGCTCTTACACAGTTTCATCACCTTCTCTTTCACTTAACTTTCCATTGATATACTTGAATAAAGGTGAACAGCAAGGTTCTTCGGCTTCCCTATGGTAACTGTCTACCGAATTTCTTAATTATGGTAGAAACAGCTCTGTGCCACAATCATAAATTACAGAACGAAAAAAAATGTACGATATTGTTCTGTGTGTAATAAATCTAAAAAAACGTATGGCTGTCCTGTTCTGAATGTATTTACTAAAATACATTCTTATTTGCTGATAAGAGAATGCTGTATTGCTAAAAATCCTTCAAATGGCAGTTAGTGTTCCTGAAACATAGAAATATTCGAACAAATGAAAGTTTCTTGAACTAAAACAAACTACTGTAGTTCCCTTTTCACAATAACAGTTTATACATTTCTATTTTGTATTTCCTGCATGAAGAAAATGTAAAGAACATATGCAGAGAAGGCACTGGATCTGTTATTGTGCAGTGGTTAGGAATCCATCTTAAAAGCACTGGGATGTATAGTGATGACAGAGACAATATTGCCTGGCTGTGATTAAAAGCAAAAGAAAGTAAAATATCTTATAATAAATAAATAATTATATATATATATATATATATATATAAAATCAAAAATGAAGTTTCACTATAGAATTCTGTCTTTGTGTTAATTAGTTAAACCCATGATGCATAAAAAGGTTTACACTTTTTATGCAAATAAAAAAGCGTATTTGTAGCCAATTTCGGGTCTACTAATAATACACAGCATTGTCTATATTTTTTACTGGTAGGAATAGGAACTTGTCATGCAACAAACAGAGCTTTAAAAAGAATCGAGAATCTGCCAGTTGTTGAAAACAGGAAGATGTTCCAGATGACTGTGTTTCTTGAAAAAACATATGTGCCAGTTCCATCTAAAGTTTTTCTTCCCCTTATCAAAGGCTTTCAAGTGTGTCACAAAGAAACACTCTCCTGCAGAAAACACAATCTAGAGTGACTCTAGCCATCTAACCGCTCCACTGCTCTCAAGGCCATGTTACCTCTAATCCACATTTAGGGCAACGCTAAGAGCCAGGGGACAGTTTATTAGCTGATTTATTGTGTCTAATGTAGGATTTTATTTGTTTACTCCTACAAATAAAAAACAGCTAATATAAAAGCAGTGGATGGTGTGCTCTTTATCACAGAGTCAACATTATCTTTATTAAAGTTATATTAGGCAACTTAGCAAGATAATGGCATCCCAACAGCATGGAGATGAAATATTTGAGACAAACAAAGGAGAAGTATAAGTTACTGAGCGCAGCATTTCTGTATGTTTATGGTGCATAGGTATGACTCACTCCTGTTCAGGATGTTTGTTTATGTGCTTCTTACTGGTCAGAGAGGGATGTGAATGCATCTATAGAACGATAGAACAGAAGGAAAACATGAAGTAAGCCTGCGGCTTCAGTTAATAACATCTTTTCTACAGAGAGAGCTCAAAGAGAGAGGGAAAAAGCTTTAACTAGAAGAAAGATTTCAGGCTTTTTCCCAAAAGTAGACTAAGTGTATGAAATAAAAAAAAAGCAAAAACAAAAAACAGCAACAGAAAAGGAAACTAGCATTAAGTAAACACATAAAGATTAAAGTGGTGACCTACTTCTTTAGATTATTTGGGGTGGCAAGACAACTATAATGAAAAATATATTTTTTAACAAAATGATTGGTGCAAAAAATGTTTGCCCCCTAATAATGCAGCCATATATTTTGAACAAGTATTTTATGAGGCTAGATCACATAGAGGAAGAGATCTTGAATATTCCTGTCTAAACTATCATATGGATAATCCTCCGTCCTCTTTTATGCTCCCTCTCTGTAGCTCATCCAGCAGGTCTTCCATTGGCTTTTGGTCTGGATGGTGAAGCGACCATCGGAAAAGTTTAGTCTGTCTGGAGTACCAACATGATTGCAGCAATGTTTTAAGATGGTATTTTGTTAATTTATTAACACACTTCACTTAGGTATTGAACTTTAGTTCTGAGTCAATGATGCCATCTAGGGATACTGCTACCTTTTTTGTCCTAAAGCTAACCCGCCCTGTTATTAAAAAAAATTGTCTTTGGCTGACGTCATTAAAGCAGAATTCCTGTTGAATTCCCAAGAGGAACATTAATGTTAGTTATGGTGGGACTTAAAGGAAAAGAATTCAAACTTCTGAAAGTACGTTAAATATGAAAATATCAAATACTCTTCAATAAATTATAAGTGTTTTTAATTAAGAGTAATTTTCATTTGAATGTGCTTTACCTCCATGTTTGTCAAAGAACACTACTGCCACCTACTGGTTTGTGACGTCACGGTGCGGTATCGGCTGTTGATCAAGTCTCAGTGTTGTATCTGGTGTTTGTCACAATGCGCTATTATCCAAATCATCTTCAAAACATTCTTCTTCCAAATGTTGGCTATATATTACATGTTTTTCTCTGGCCAGAAATACAATGGTAAATCCTTTCTCTTTAAGTTGGTAATCCAACGATGAACCCGTCTGTTGTGGGTCATGAATCGGAAAGGTGAAATAAAAATTTTTTTTTCACTTTTACCAATGTATTACAACATCAAACTGCCATGCACGTGGGCATTGACAGTTTAGCCATAGCTCTTGCGAATTTTAATGGTGCAGTGCTCTGGAAATCTTAAATAATTGTTATCGATTGCAGATGTGTCTAGTAGTACATGTATTTTTCAATTCCTAGTATCAATTAAAAAAATAAAAATGTTTTACTTAAAAAGAATGAAGGAAAATGGGCTACCTCTGGCACATAGAGCTGTGGAGCCCTTTTGCTGTGTGGCGCAGCCCCATATCTGTAGTTGAGGAAGTCACAGTGGACTGACTCAAAGCACAAACAACATGGATACCAAAATAACTAAATGGTCAATATCTTCTGATAAACATATAAAGTGCTTTCTTTTTTTAAAACGCATTTAATTTTGATCGCTGGGAAAAATGTCAATATATAGTGATATTTCAGTATCATGATAATATCGTATTGTGACCCAAGTATCGTGACACGTATTGATTGCAACATCTAGGCCAATACTCAGCCTTACTAAAAATGACAGTTGACACTTATGCAATTATCCAACTCTATCTAAACATGTAATAGGACGCTCAGGTGGCTGACTTCTCGGACTTTGAGTTTGTTTTTCCATTTTCCAAGTCTGTTTTATGTTATTATATTAGCTTTGATTTTGTATTGTAATGTACAGTAATGTGTGGCTCCTGGAGTGGACCCAATGGAAACAGGCAAAGAAAATTGGCTTGGTGAGTTTTTAACATAGAAAGAAGGGTGAAAATAGTAGCACTGCATAATAAACAGACATAGAATGACATAGCAAAAAAAAACAACAAAAAACCTATGAGAAGTGAGGAAAACTGACTAACATTTGAAAAAAAAAAAAAAAAAAAACCTATGAGAAGTGAGGAAAACTGACTAACATTTGAAAACTGATTATCAAGAGCAGGTGGAGTGAAGCAGCCCCTGATAGGAATCATTAGCTGAACTTGGAACAAAAAACTAATTAGAACTAAATAGAGCTACAATGACATAATTTCACCCAGGATACTTACATAATGAGAGATAAAATAACGAGTTCTTGTTTTGTTGTAATTGATTAAATTATATTAAACAAAATCATAGTGAAAGACCACAATCTAATAACAAAAAATAAACCAACACACCAGTAAACGAACAGTAATATCAACAAATTTGAAAATTCAAAGCCTGTAAATTGCACGCTGAATGAGCGGTTTGAATTCAGATATTTGCTGCATGATCCTTTGCTCTCTTCTTAAAAGCGGCTTTTTTATTTTTTATGTATATATATTTTTAAAAAAGCATGGCTTGTTTTCTGATAGAGAAACT